GGGGACTGCGCAAAAGGGGAAGAAAAAAAAAAAAAAAAAAAAAAAAAAATTTGTTCCAAAGTGAACGTCACCAAGTGGTTTCCTTTGAAGGTAGCTGTGTACAAATATGGTCTGTCCACAAAGTGGAAATTTTTTTTTTGTGAAAGTTACGTGGATTCTCCGATATGGTTCCCAGGGCGAACTCTGCAACCCAGCCCACTGCATGTCCGGCCCAGACGATTCCTGCGGATGGGGGTGAAGGGGGCGGCGTGTTGTGCGCAGGGTGTGTGTGGGCGAAAGGAAGCAGAAGAGGAATGCACCGCTTCGCCCAGCGCCCTACTTTCATATTCCAGGCCCATGTCCCGAAGGGCGGAAGAAGACACGTAGTTGTTTCCGTCAAAAATGATAATGTCCGCTGCGGGAAAATAAAAAAATAAAAATAAATAAATAAATAAATAAATGTGGGGAAAAGTCCACAAGTGCATGCACACATGTGTGGATACGTTTCGGGTAGGCGAGTAACTCCCTTGGGGGAAGGGGACCACAACGCACATGTTGTCACCCCCCTCCTTCACAGTTTGAGTCTCACCGCTAGGGTAAAGGATGGCGTATTCAAACTCAGGAACTTTGGTGTTATCCTGCAGGACATAAATTCCTACAAAGGGGGAGACAAGGGGGGAGGGTTCAGGGTAAGCCATACACACACACGGACAGGCGGATGGAAAAGGAAATGAAATAAAAAGGAAAAGCGATTAAAAGCACTGTCGCTGCTCCTATTCAAGTTCTCGTAGTTACTCTCGTTGTCTTCGTCGATTCCTTTCATTTCAATCCGCTTGACGCCTGCGAGGTGGCGGGGAGAGAGAGAGAACGTTCGTGGATGCAGGTGCACGTAGGTTAATGAAAAATATGCTCCACTCAAATGAGAGCACAACTGGGGAAGTGGCAAAGTCACCCCCCTTCGGCTGACTCTTTATGAAACGCTTTCATACCATCTGCCTTCAGGATCTCTAACTCGTCGACGAACTGTCGCCCATCGTAGACTTTCCCTGAGGAGGGGGACAAAGGTTGCACACGTGAGTAAGAGCACGTCTTGCAGGTGTACATGTCGCGCGTGTACATTTCACATGTGTGTGCCCACATGCAGCGGTGTGCTACAGGAAATGCGAAACGTACTCGATTTGGACAGCCCAATGTGCAGTGTGTTGTCTTCTAACGACGGGAAATGGGAGGGGGAAGGGAAGCGGATAGAAGAAAAGGAAAAAAAGAAAAAAAAAAAATATGAACACGTGCAGGCGAATTCACACAAAAGTTGCATGCACGCGGAGGGCACTCTTCCATTTGAAAGCATTTTCAAAGAAATTCCATTTTGTCCGTACGTCCAAAGCTGTCCATATTTAGTTGGTATCCTGTGGTGACGCGGTGAAGGGGTGGTAAGCGGTGGACGGGTTGACGTGGTGACGAGGTAACTCGGTGAAGGGGTGACTCGGTGACAACACACGATAAACCACGCTGCCATTACCTCCCGTAAAGAGAAATCCATTGAACTTTCGCGCTGAAAAGAAAAAAAAAAAAAAAATAATAATATTAAAATGCTCTGCCCATGCGCAGACAGAAAGAAAGTTCCACATCGCAATCGTTCCTTCTGTTTTCTCTTTGGAAAAATTACTTCCAACTTTGATCGAAATGGGGCTGTCCGTTTTCAAGCCTGCAGAGAGGACGAAGGGGTGAAGAGAAGGAAGAAGAAGAAGAAGAATGTGCTTCTGCATAGGGGAGAAAAGCACGTAAGTCCACATTGTACATATGCATGCGTGCATGTCCTGACCTTCCCTGATGTGGATTGACTTTTTAAAAACGTTGGTGACCTTCCCCTTGAGCATGTTTAGTATGCCCACGTTTTCTGCGGAGGGGGGGGCGAAGTGGGTTAAGCGGTGAAGTGGGTTACGCGGTGAAGAGGGTTACGCGGTGAAGAGAGCGACGCGGTAACCGCTTATTGGTGACTGTGTGCAGAGGACTGCGCTTGCTCGCCGCTTACTATGCACGAAGATCGAAATTTGCTTCCGCTCCAAATCACGGATGTGCTTGTCGTTTGATTCCATGAAGGGACAAAAAATGCTCGTGCTGCTGTCCTTGTCCTTGTAGTTTCTTATTTTCAAGTACTGCACGCTGTTGAGCGACTGGTCGATTATGTCCTGGGCCTCGCTCATGTTCTTCAGTCGAGACACGTCGCTGATTATTTTTTTCACCACTTTTTCTGCGTATACAAGAGAAGCGTGTGTGGGGGGGGGAGAAGCGTGTGTGGGGGGGGGAGAAGCGTGTGTGGGGGGGGAGAAGCGTGTGTGTGGGGGGAGAAGCATGTGTAGGGGGGGAGAAGCATGTGTAGGGGGGCAGGAGAAGTATGTCGGGGGTAGTGCACCTCAACTTACTCGTCACGTCGGCACAAATGTAACGGAAGGACAACTCCGACTTAACAAATAAATCATAGTTCATTTTATTCTTGTTCTTTTTTTTATTGCTTATGGTGGCACTGCGGCTAAAGTGATCACATCGAGTAGCAGTGTCCACAGCGATTTTTAAAATGTCGACTGGGTCCGTTAAAGAAGACATAAGAGTTTTGATGACCTTTCTTATACTTCTCTTCCTGATGGGTATTCTGGTGGGTCTACACTTTTTTTTTATAATACCAAGAATCTTCTTTTGCTTGGCTCCTCCATAATCGTGTATGCAACCTAGAACAATTTTGTCTGTCTTTCCTCTGCACCTGTCGTAAATTATTTCTACTGCCTTCTCCGCAGGGCCCCGGTCTGCAAAAAAGGGTTTAACAATTATTGCGGCTATGTTGGGAGCTGTTTTTGGAAGTGCCCGTTGCCGCTTCGAAGCCATCGCTTCATACCGCCTCACGCGCGCCTCACACCGCTGCCCACTTACTGTGAACGAAGTAGGAGAGGAAAAAGAGCTTCTTAAACCTGGTAACGTTAGGATTATCGAGTGTGATGCTTTTTTCATTTTCGAAGACCCACAGGGACAGGAAGATAGAGATGTACTGGGCCAGGAGAGTAGGGGTGTATGGAAGGGACAGGAATTTCTTTTTTAACATTTTCACCGTTTGTGTGATTATCCTTTGTGCCTTGTCCGCCTTTGAATGTCTCAACAGGTAATCTGTTTCTGAAAAAGACACGAGGTCGGCGTAATTCTTGGGGTGCGCTGAACTGGCCCCTAAGGTGAAGATCTTCTTCAGCGTCGAGGAGAAGTTGCTGAGGAAGCTCGACTCGTACTGCTCGATCATGGTGCTGATGAAGAAGGCTGCAGGGGGGGGGGGGCATTATTTGTAAAAGTGAAAAAGTTGCATCAGGTGCACGCCGCTGAATACGTGTGCATGTGTATACTCCCCCCCTTTTTTGCACACTTACTCAACTGCAGGCTCACAGAAATGAGGGGAGAAAAATTGTGCACGAGAAAATTCACATGAGGAGAGGGCTTCATATTGTAGTTGAACCAGTTAAAGACAAACCCCACATTCCTGATCCTCGAGGTGACGAAGCTTTTTGTCTTAATCTTTTTTGAAGCAACGAACCCATACGACGCAGAGTAAATGCTCTGAATGCTATTCCACACGTCCTTCGTCGTCTCATACAAGGAGCTAAAGTTCTGTGACTTCTTCGCCAGCAGGCAAGTCTTTATAATATCGTCAATGGCAAAAATGGACTCATTGCCGTATTTTTCTTCTGGCTCTTCTCGGAAGAAGTTGAACGGGGCGATCTTCAGAAAGCTGTTCCTCTTTTCCTTTTTCACCTGCGCAGGGGTTAGCGGCGTTATGCATGAGTGGCAGCGTTATGAATGAGTGGCGTGGTTAACGGCGCAATATGTAGCCGTGCACTACGTGCAGGTGTAACGCGCGCGCACCTTCTTCCTCCTATCAATTGTAGTGTTCAGGAGGTTGAACTTGTCCGTGGTGCTGATGGAGCTCACGTCGATGAACCCCTTCTTCGTGTGCTCGGTTGCAGAGCTCAGGTACAGAAGCATGATCAGCAGGAAGTCCGCCGTCGTCTCAATATTGTGCAGCTTGTCTCGGTAGTAGTACATTAGCATCTTCACCACTGCGAGAGGGTAGAAGCGGTGGGGAAGGCGTGTAGAAGCGGTGAAGGGGCGCAACCCTCATTGGTTGTGTGCATGACGAACTACATGAGTAGTCTCCCTCCACACAGATTTTCCCTCCTTACTGTCGGCTCTCCTCTGAGAGGTGTTGGTGGGCTTGAACTCGTTTTTGTATTCCTCCAAGTCGTAGTTCGCGTTGACTGTCTCGACGATGCACTTGCTCGAGCACATGTCCACAAACCCGAACTCTGCGATGGTGGAAGGGGGGGGGGGAGACAACTTGAAGGGGGGAAGTCCTCGGCTGAGCAGTGTGCTCACATGTGTAGCGGTTAAGCATAGAAGCGGTACCAGCGGAGCCTACGACAAATGTGCCGTGCCACGCTCGCACATCTGCCCCCCTCTGCTGCGTTACTTTTCTGCATGAGCTCCGCCACCTTGAGCTTGAATGTGTGCAGAGCGTCGTCCAGGCCCTTCTCCACAAGTATGAGCGTTCCTGTCGTTGGGGGGAAGAAGAAATAAAAACACGACGTTGTTACTTAGAGCGGCGTGTCAACTGCACACCAGCACATGCATGCATACACACGCCGACACACGAAGAGACACGCAGACGAATGCATAAAAAAAGGGTAACCTTTGTGGACCATGTTATGAATCCTGTGCTTGAGACGAGGCAAATATGGTTTGAAGTAGGGGATGTCGTGGGTCATTGCGCTCTTGAACAGCTTCTCGAACATAAAGCTGAGGAACGTGCTGCCTGTACAGGGAAGTTTTTTCGTGTGCGCGTTTGTTACAATTACGTTGGCGGCAGGGTTTAGCTCAGACTAAGTGGTTCTAGTGTTCGGCCCCCCTCTGTTGGGGGGAGAATCTCCTCCTCATTGTGACTAACCCAATTGGCCACACACATCCGAGTGCATAGGGGCCATATAATTTGGGGCCTTCCCTTCATGTTCCTTCAGCAGCTTGCTCACTGTAGGAGGGGGGGATAAAACGGACACATGCGATGTAGTAAGGATAGAGCAGCCTGCCCCACACCTCAATGGAGGGTACACGTGAGACAAGCTCGGGAGGCACCTTACCGTTTATATTTTCGTTCACAAATCTCTGCATGAGTAAGTCGTTCTCGAGCTGCTCGATATTCTCATCTGGGGGGGGGGGAACGGCCACGGGACAGAGCGAATAAGGAAGTGAATGGTTTGAGGTGACATATGTGCGCAACACGTAACCGCTAATTGTGGACAGTGACGAGTACCTATTTTCTTCTTCTGCATGTTTTTTTTCTTCTTGTTCGAGGCCATGAAAAGCTTGTTCATGATCCTGTGTATGTCTGCAGTGGGGGGGTGGGGTGCAAAGAGACAGGTGTGTGTTAGGCACCGTTTTGGCCACATGCAATAAAAAAAAAATATATGCTCCACGTGAACAGGCGTCCTTGTACCACTAATGGCATTTTCTTTCCTTTTTTCGTTCCGTTTGTTTGTCCCTTTTTTTTTGTGTCCACCCGCCTCCCCATCATCTTACACTTTTCAGTCTCGTACTTCTCCTTCAGGGTTGCCTTGGAGTACCACTCGAGGTTGTATTCTGCGGTGGGGCATGGGAAAAAATGTATCCGGTGGTGATCTCCCGTTTTAGTGTGTCAACCACGTTGTGTGATATTAGGTGCGTGTGAGACTGTGCGGTGGCTTCGCAAATGCGTCCCCCCCCTCTGCCGCATGCCTAAGGGGAAACGGTAAACTCACTGTTGAAATCAACCGTCTTGTCGTTCTTAATCATGTCTAGCGAATGCATGGTGGCCAAACTCTCCTTCAGTAAAGCCGAGGCGCGCTTAAAGTTGCCAAGCGTTTTATACTCCTGGCTGTCCAGCTCTCGGGTTATTTTTGTAGAGTAAGCAATCATCTCGCTGTTTATTTTTTCGAGAAACCGAAGGGCTGCCGTAGGGGGTGGGTGAGTAATGGATTAGAATGGTTTAGGGTTCATCGCAGGGTCGTGTGGCGATGTTACAACGGGGCCAAGTGCGGCGTTTGTGTCCCGCTCAGCTAGGTTGTCTTTCCCTCGTTCAGTTACCCTTCTCGTATTTGCTCCTTTCAACATCTGTGGTGGTTTGCATGCACGGGGGTGGGTGTTAAAGGTGTGCGAACGATGAGTCAGGCGAACATACCGATTTGTGATGAAAAACAAAAATTGCTTTAAATGGGAGGCGCGTATATGTGCGCGTGTGCCTGTCCCCATTTCGGGGAATCATTTTTGCTGCCGGGTTGCGATTGCCCCCTCTGCGTACCTGACGGGTCGGACGTGTTCTGGCTGAAACCTCCTGCAACGGGGGGAAGAAAAAAAAGGGCACGTAGAGGGAGAGTTAAAACGTGGCATGAAACAATTCCTCGTGGAGGCCCCCCCCGAACAGTTAGAACATGCCGCAGACAGATCGTTCACTACAGTCGGATCTACACGGCACACATTTCTTTCCACTGGCTGTGCGCCGTGCGCTTCCCTCGAACGCACCAACTATGTGAGCCTTCTTCGATTTGGAAGGGACGAATTTCTTATCCTTGGGGTCGAACATAACGTTGATCGAGTCCACATTTTTCATAATATTCTTTTCGAGCTTGTCTAGGCCTGCACGTGTGCACGTATGTATGTATGTATGCATGCACAGACGCGCTTAATACGGAGCACTGTGTGTGCTTCTGTCTATCTGCGCCCCCACTTCGCTTCCTCATCGAGGCAACTTACTTATATTTTTTTTTCCATGTTTAAAATTTTGCTTTATTGGGTGCCGCCCGAATGGCAATTTCGGTCTGATCAGAGTTTCGAAGAATTTACCTGAACGGGGAGGAGGCGGGTGGGGCGGTTATAGGTGCAGCAGTAACCACGTTTGAGAGGTGTGGAGGTGCACAGGTGCAGCAGTAACCACGCACGCGCTAAACTGAGGCCTTACTTTGTATTCCCACGGGGACATACGCGAAGGTCGCGCAAATAAACAGCACGTACTTCAGCATGATGGACGTGGTTTACAAAATGCGGCGAGGGAGGGGGGAAATTAATTACGTAGGCGGGTGGGGGGGGTGACTTCTCTGCCGCTCAGCCTATTTGCGAGATGTGTATGCAACAGGTTGAACGTTTATGACCAAGGAACCTCCACCAGTCAGTAGGACTGAACATTCCGTGCCTCTGTGCAAGTGTGTGTACGCTTCTTCCGACACGCACATTCGTAGGTACGTATGTGTACTGAGGTTGTTTAAGTTGGTTCGTTTTTCTGTTGTATCACTTCCGGACACACGTGGCTGCTGCTGCTGCCTTTTTTTCTCCAACACCAATTTGCACACAGACGTAGACAATTTTTTTTTTTTTTTTTTTTTTTTTTCCTTTCTTGCGCTTATTTTCAGTCTATGCAGATTATCCCATTTATTTGTCCTCCTGCGCGAACTCCTTTCGTTTTTTTTTATATATATATATATTTCTTTTTTCGCGTGTCTGTTGCATCCCTCCTAGATTGAGAAGTTGTGCAATGGTGATGCGAGATCGGAGTGTATGCGTCTTCGCGTTGTTACCACACCTCATTAATCTCGTTCGTCCTTTTCCTCTTTCTTTTGCGTCTTTTTTTTTTTTTTTTTTTTTTTTTTTTTTTTTTTTACTAATTGGTGGACCCGAGTAATGACCCGTGTTAGCTGCATGGGCAGACCACATATGCGTAAAGAAAGTTCACAACCATTGTACAGAGGGGGGGGGGGGCGAGGACGCCCCCGCACACTTGCGCGCAGCGGGACAGCCACGCTTTTTATGAATGCACGTGCATACATGGGTATAAACAGATGGGTATGTGTATGCGTCTGACATACTCCCACAAGGGTGGGGATCCCCTGGTCAGTTTTTTTTTTTTTTTTTTTTTTTTTTTTTTTTTT